AGCCCACCCATGACACACATGTTGACACCATGAAGGCACGCGGTTGGCACTCGGATGGTTTACTGTAGGTGCTTGATGGCGCGACGAAGGAGTTACTTATGACAGCGTAGTGGGCTGCTTTATGAGCTTATCACTTAACCGTACCGGAACACAATGTTGAGTTGTCGCTTACGCTGAATCAGTGTCTACGTGTCGCCATTTCATAAGTCGGGTCATATCATCCTTCATCAATCAATTTTCTGTTTTCCTATTATTCGTACTATATCAATCAATACAACACCGATACGATATAGATACTGTCGACATAGGACTGATAGAGCACGATACATGTCCGAAACAAGAAAGAAAAAAAATTTGAAACTCACCTTTTTCGATGCATTCCATATAATGGGATCTTGCTGGAACGATATATATCAACCATGCAGCTTGATACATTCTAATATTTTGAAGCTTGGTCATGTAAATTTTTTGTCTTTAAAAATACCGAATTAGCATTATAAAATCTAAATATATTTGTTTTTATCCTCTTCAAGTACAATCAAAATCTTTGTTTTCTTTGAACAAGTTAATATATACTAAATTTACCTTACTATTACTAGTAGTGTGATTACAATGCGTGTCGTGTATTGGAGGCACCTAAATCTCCTACACTCATCTTGGTGCACGCTAGTATGCTCTTCCATTCATATTGCTACACATCAGCTAGCTACACTTGGAACCTAGCTTCCCTTTAGATGGCATGCTATGCTTGATTACTCTCTTAAAGACGAAACAAAAACTACATGAACAATTTGAGGAAATCTTAGTGTTATAATTTTGAATGAAACTTGCACTTTTGCAATATGTAACCCACGACAAATATTACACCATGTGTTAACATCGATGCAGCTAAACAATATTTCATAGGGTAAAAAAAGACTTAATTATACCATGAAATTTTCAAATCAACTTAAACGTACCTTGTCCTTGTAGGGTGGCCCTACTCGACTTAAATATACAAACGTCAAATGGGAATTGATTTAAAATTTTTAAAAATATTTAAAATATGTACGGTGTAAATACATACAAAATAACACAAATTACAAGATTTTGCACTCTAGATATTTATATTTGTGCTTTACAAACTAAGCCTTAATAAAAAAGATTTGTATTAAAAACTAGTAAATGGGTACGTGCTTTACACATGGCAGTTTTAGATGATGATAATAATAGTAATAATGTATCCAAAATTTTCTATAAAATTCATGTTTTTTTTTTATATTTTTGTTTTTCAATATTAACCAGATATACATTGCAAAATCCAATTTTGATTATTTAAACATCTCATATTGGGCTACAAAATTTTGGGTATCATTGATAGGCTTACCTACTTAACTGGGCTCTTCTTTTGGTAATGACATAATAATTTATCTTCTTACTATATTTTTTTTTGTTCACTTATAAAAAATGCAAGATATATTTAAAGAGAGGGACTTGAATGATGTAAAAAGTAGTAGTGCAAATTACATTTTAAACCTCACAATTAGATAAAGATTAAATTAAAAAAATATGTATTTTAGTCAAAAGAAAGTTCCACAATCTTATTCATATTTTTAATGGTAGTGTTAATATGAAATTATAAATATTCTTAAATTTTCTATAATTTTTTTTTATTTGTATGTCTGTAAAAATAATTCTGTTATGTATTCTTATTTTTTTGTTTGATATGACAAATATATGATATTATACATGTTCTCAAATATTTTTTGGTAAAATTCATGTATTTTTTATTTTTGTATTTTTATATGTTTATATTTTTATTATTTAATTATGACATTAAAAATTGATACATTTGACCCAAAAGTTGAACTATTGATCTTTGGCCAAAATAGAAAAATAATTTCATTTTTGGTTAGTTTTAGACTATGTATTTCATTTTCATCATCAATAATTTCATCTTTCTGAACAACCTCTATAGTACCTTTTAATCATTGATAATTAGTGAAGTTCAAGCTCTTATTTTTTCTAGCATTTCGGGAGGTTTATTGGCCACGCAGGTCTTCAAGGTTACAAAGATCATAGCTAGTGAACTTAAAAAGAAAAAGAAAAACTAGCTAGTCAAAGCTCAAGATGGGCTGCAATTAAAAGAATGACTTAAAACTTCGAAGGGCATAATAACTTTTGATTTGTTATTCAAACGACACAATGTGATATATGAAAGTAGTATGGTATGGGGTTCAATGCAATCTACAGAACTACAACAATGTCAATCATCAGTGAATTTGGGTCAAGAATATTGGTACTGACTACTGAAATCATATTATGTTTTGCTTCTAAAACCCTTAAAATGAAATGACATTGGCCATTTCATGAATTTTATTATTTTTATTGAGCCTTATATATATATATATATTTTTTTTGAATCCAAGAGTTAAGAAATCAATAATGTTCTATTGATGTTTTTTTCCTAATCTGGGTAAAATCCACTATTTTTGGCAATTTTAATATGCTGGGAAAAGTCAGAGTCTAAATCGAACTAAGATCAAGAAGAGTGTAATAACCCGTACTGCATCAATTTTATACATATTTTTTCACATATATATTACTGATACTAGATGAGTGAATTGAAGCAACACTTCTTGAAGCCTAGAACTTCATTGAAGATGTTCAAAAATGCACATTCTCTCATGTAAGAAGATCTTCAAATAGGGTTACGTTCACATAGCATTGCGAGGTTCGGTTGTATCTACTATCTACACCTGGTCATCTGAACTGGGGTTCTTAATTACATGTTTATGTTGTAAATGATCTTCCATAATTAGTTTAATAGATGCAATGCTTCTTTACTTGAACCCCCCCCCCCCCAAAAAAAAAGCACCGTTGAAGCTCGATTAATATTTTTCTTGAGCCTTTTTTTTTTTTTTGTAAATCATGCTTAATCCAAAAAACATAAAATCAAAACTGGATAACTGAGATTAGTTTTTCGAGTTTAATAGATAAATTAGACTCTAAAAAGAGAATTGCACGCAAAATGCAAAACAATTGGAAATTAATATGGCCCACTGCATGTCCACTTCTCTTAAACATGAATAGATAGATGATCTTTGGGCTTTAAATAAGCTACCATACCATATTTATGTCGGAACTGGGGAACTTACTGGGCCGAGGGCGTCAACTTGGGCTAATATCCAAATCTGATGGATAAAATTCGTTTTAATTAAATTTAAAGGAATCGAATTTGGATCTAGGTATAACCGGTTCGATATGATCCGTTTGCAGACGTAGTTAGGTCCAGTGGAAAATCAGGAGTGAGGACTCAGGAGGAGATAGGATTGCTGATATAATGGGGCAAATATTGCCCATCCATGATGCATTCTTATTTCTTTCTTTCCTCGTCTCTTGTACTCGCAAGCAGAATCAGTACAGACTTCAAACCAAAGTACAACCCTCCTCAAATCCACACAAACCAAAGTACCAAACCACTGTGGCTGGGTTTCCTTCCTAACTATTCATACCCACATTTGAATTGAAACCCAGTGACTCAGGCCCAAGGAAACGAAGGCCCAACACGAACACGGTGATTCGTCATCGGGATTCAGTAGACCAGTCGATGGGTCCAAATTAAGCACAATGCACAAACCACAGCCATTCGTTCGTTGAGGGGGCTATCCAGAATCTAATCCTCTCTTTTATTATCCCCTTGCTTACTTGAAACAAATGCATTTCCTTCCACCGCTTCCCCTTCACCTACTGCTGCTTCTCTTCTTCGTTAGTTCGTTACCATGGCTTCGGCTACTCTCTCTGTAGCCAATTCTGCTCTGCAGGTGGTTTTCGCCTTTCGGCTTCTTTCTTTCACTTACGGTATCCTAGTGGTGATTTTAATCATTCTGATATATTTGTGCAGGCCAACGGCAAGGGCTTCTCGGAATTCTCTGGCCTCCGCAACTCATCCGCTTCTCTTCCCTTCGCCAGAAAAGCCTCCGACGATTTGCTATCCGTCATTGCCTTCCAGACCTCCGTGGTATGCGCTCTCGTTCTGTGTCATGATCAGTGTGTGTGCTAAAATTTTCTTTAAATTTGTTACACAAACCACAACCCTTGTTGCACAGAAGGGATGATGATGATGATGATCTCCCGTTTGAGTCTGTCATAAGTTACATGCAAATACAGTACCATCTTTGGACATAGACATAGTTATGGGAAAGAGAGTTCGCTTACATCAATGGCGATTATCACTAATTGAATTGTTTGAATTTGAATCCTCCATAAATAATTCGATGATCGTAGATGTCATGAAGCTGGCCGGTTGGTTTTGGATTGTGAAGATTATTTTTCCATTCATTCAGTTATCAGGAAAAATAGCACCCATTTTGCATTGGTTCGTCTACTCAAGCGCCTAGTTTTGCTACGTCTCACTTATTACCTCTTTTCTTTTTAATAGTTTCCCTCTGGTAAAAATCCACTCTGGATACAATGATGAACTAATAAGGTATTGTGGTCCTCCGATCCCAAATCCATGCTGTCCTTGATGTTAAGATGACAATCAATTGTCTCGTGTCTCACTCTCTCAGACTCTCAGACTCTCAGGCGAGAACTGAAGAGAACCTTGAAAGTTGAAATTAAGCAAAATAAATGAACAATAAAGAAAAAGAGGGGAAATTGTCTAAAACACATCAGCATTTCTAAACTCTATAATTTTTTAAAGCGTCCAGAAAACCCGTCACATTAATTTCAAATGCAACAAGAACCGAGATCAAGAAAATATTTATGGTCAAGAAGAAGAAATGTGGCTCCTGTAGTACCCAACATCCACTTCTATCTGATGTCAGTTAGAACAAAGGTGTATTGAATAAAAATTAGGCTGACATAAAAATATGTTTAATAAGGTTGTCATGCCATTTAGGGGCAGTTTGGTCATAAAAATTACATTTATGCTGACCTAGACAATTTTGTCAATAAACACTAACCTGTGGAGCATTTCCAAAAAAAAAAAAAAAGAAAAAAAAAAGAAAAAATGAAAACGAGATAGGAGATAGTGTAGCCCAACACTATGTGGGCCTAAGATGAGCCATTAACCATCTGGTATCATGCAAGCAATCAATCAGTAACCAATGAATTGCTATTCAGTACGTGAATTTGTGGTTGGTTAAAGTTTTTCAGGTAACATACCTAAATTGAAATGCAGAGGAAACGAATAAACAAATGGATCATTTGGTAAGTCTTTTTTAAAAGATCTTCTGAAAGTTTTGACAGTCAAAAGATGATATAAGAGCTTTTGCATCAAGATATTAACAGGTTGAAGACCATTTGGTTAAGGCACATCTATTCGTGCATCTTTTCCATATCTTTTCGTGGCTACGACTTTTAACAGCTAGATTTTTTCCCAACTAAACGGGAAAAAATCAAAATGTGAACTGTTGGGCTTCTAAAAAACCAACAGCCCATGCCAAATGGGGCCAATTTATGATCATATTGCCCGTGTATGAGAAGAGAGAGAGAATATTAAACTTGACCATGCTAGGTGGATCTGGCCCAGCATACATATATTCTTAGGCCTAATCCATCCCAATTCCCATGGGCCAGAATATCACCCTCCCCCGCATACCTGTCCACAATTAATCATTGTGGTTATGTAATTAATTATCCGGTAACAGTTGTTTTGTTAGATTTCAGATCTGTCAACGAGTCTTTAAATCTGCGACCCTTAGCCCTTAGCCGGGGTATTGTGATGTAGAATCAATATAAGTTAAATTCCCTATAGGCAGGGGATATGAATTAAGGCTTGAAGACCAAATATATATATATATATAAATTAAATATTTTGCCCTGTCGCTGTGTAGGTTGGTGGAAACGGTCAGAAGAGAGGAGTGGTAGAGGCGAAGCTGAAAGTGGCAATCAATGGGTTTGGAAGAATAGGGAGGAATTTCTTGAGGTGTTGGCACGGGAGGAAGGACTCCCCGCTGGATGTCATCGCCATCAATGACACCGGCGGTGTGAAGCAGGCCTCACATCTCCTCAAGTACGACTCCACCCTCGGCATCTTCGAGGCCGATGTCAAACCTGCTGGTGACAATGCCATCTCGGTCGATGGTAAGATCATAAAGGTTGTCTCGGATCGTAACCCCGTCAACCTCCCTTGGAAGTAAGCAAGCAAGACCCACTTTCGAATTCAATATTAATGTTTTTCCCCTTTTTTTTTCTGGTCTCGACCGTACCTTCAAATTAATTAGCTATATAAATATATCACCGCAGGGATCTAGGGATCGATCTGGTGATCGAAGGAACGGGTGTGTTCGTTGACAGGGAAGGTGCAGGGAAGCATATCCAAGCTGGGGCCAAGAAGGTGCTGATAACAGCCCCCGGGAAGGGTGATATCCCAACCTATGTGGTTGGGGTCAATGCCGACACCTATAACCCGGACGAGACCATTATCAGTAATGCATCTTGCACCACCAACTGCCTTGCACCTTTCGTCAAGGTCTTGGATCAGAAGTTTGGTAAGCACCACTACTGATTAAATTAATAAATGATCGATACTAGAGCTACACATACATGCAGCTAGCCTAGCCAGCAGTAGTCGCCATGCTTGCGTGACTCGAAACTCGATCGATTCATTAACACTAATTAGCAAGTCCCTTAAATATTAATTACTTGAAACTAATTAATGATCATATATATATATGGCTTCTGCTGTTGCAGGCATCATCAAGGGTACCATGACCACCACTCACTCCTACACCGGAGACCAGAGACTACTTGATGCAAGTCACCGAGACCTCCGACGTGCAAGAGCTGCAGCCCTCAACATTGTCCCAACATCAACAGGTGCTGCCAAGGCCGTGGCGCTTGTTCTGCCGACCCTCAAGGGCAAGCTCAACGGAATTGCTCTTCGTGTCCCCACTCCCAATGTCTCCGTCGTGGACCTGGTTGTCCAGGTGTCCAAGAAGACCTTTGCTGAGGAGGTTAATGCTGCATTCAGGGAGTCTGCCGACAAGGAACTCAAGGGCATCCTCTCCGTCTGTGACGAGCCACTTGTTTCCGTGGACTTCAGGTGCAGTGATGTCTCTTCAACTGTTGATGCTTCCCTCACCATGGTTATGGGAGATGACATGGTTAAGGTGATTGCTTGGTATGATAACGAGTGGGGTTACTCTCAAAGGGTGGTTGATTTGGCCGACATCGTTGCCAACAACTGGAAATGACCAAATACATTACTACTCTTTCAGTACTCAGCTCCGTCATGAGTCACCATTCAGGAGGGTGCCATGCATGCATTTTTAAAGCGAGCTCTATCGATCTAATTTGTCGAAAATGTATTGAAATAATGTAAACTTTGTTCTTTTTTTTTTAATTTTTTCTTTCCTTAATTGCTATTTTTTTTTCACTGTATCATTGTTAAACTTTTTTTTGAATAATAATAAGAAAAGAATATAATACAAACCGAAACTAACTAGGCGACACAAAAACTCAAAAAGCACAAAGATATAACCAAAACAACCACCTTCCAGACTTAACCAATGACTCCAAAGGTCAAACACTACTGAAACCGAAACCAGGACTTCCAATAACAACCCAACATTCAGTTAGGGCTCTTCATAAGAAGATCCAATCTGACCAAACCGATCAATTTGGACTGATTCAACCTGAGTTGGCCAGGTTTTTTTCAGCACCAGTTGGTTTCGGGTTATAAAAAATCATAAACCGATGATTCGGTTTGGTTTCGATTTTCGTGTGTAAAAATCGAAACCGATTCGAACCGAACCGACTTAGTAGTTAGTTCCTACTTAGTAATTACTACCTACTTAGTTCTTATTTAACTAATTTGTCTCTATCCTAGTTACAAGTTAGGTTGTACAACAATTAAGTCATCACTAAGTGGAGCCGAAACCGACCCAACCCGACTCAAATCGATCAGGTCGGTTTTGCTTAATACAGGATCGGTTTCAGTTTCAATTTCAGGTATCCCGACCAAGTCGGATCGATTGAAAAAACATCAATTAACTGACGCAACTCAACCTGTAAACAACCCTAATTCAATGTACAAGCTTAGCAAAAGGACTTACCTCTTCCTCTATCCCTTACCGCCTTCTTTCTTCTCAATTCTGCTTTAATGAAGCATCCACAAAAAAAATTAATGTCTTTGTAATATTTTACTTCAGGGGAGCCCACCAAACCTAAATCCCTTACTGTCTGCCAAAAACTCTTCATCATCGCTACCAAGTCTTCCTTTTATCTCGCGCCTTGTCAGTTTCTGCCTCAAACCTTGGAAAGTCTCTTCAACGAACTTTTACCCACCCTGAAAATACAAACCCAACGAGCCTAAGTTAGTTAGCCTTCTTTTGCATTTAATTAATTTATTTTGAAATTTGAAATATGAAAACAAATTCTAATTTCGCCGTGCCGCACTACATACCGGTTTACTGTATATACTATACATGCAGTAGACCTTGGCGTATATATAAATATACAAATTACAGACTAAGTTCACTCCAGAGTGAACCAAGTTCTCATTTTATTTTATTGCCAAAAATAAAGGTAGAAATGTAGTACACTTTAGTTGAGCATGTTTAGTTTTATGGTGTTGTGTGTGCTTTGTGTTCATGCAATGGAAATTGGGAGGCAGTTTATTAGACACAAATGTAATGCATGCAGCAATTATATATATATATATATTTAATTATATTGTTTTATTAGACAAGTGTTATTGCTTATTGGACACCATTAGGCATCATATAGGCGAAAAGATGCACAACAATGGAAACGTTAAAATAATATTTCCTCTAAACATGAGTTTCATAACCCGAAATAAGAAAAAAAGTAGAAAATTAATCAACCCACCATACATTCAGCCCTCGCAACTTTCTTGAATAAATCCTCCAATTTCTAGCGATAGTGGTTGCCTAATTGGCATGCGATACGATATTTTGATTCTATTTCCAGCTGCTAAAAAGTGAGGCTTAATTCCCTTTTCTGTCCATTCTATATTTCACAATAAATATGTGCAGGGCAACTTTTTTTTTTGCCAATCTCTTCTGGATCAAGATTGGAAAGGATCATTTGAGTTCCCCCTCACCCGCCCAAAAAAAAACTGATTATTTTTTATAGGTTCATTATTTCAACGGGTTTCTTTTCTTTTTTGGTGAATAAGATAGGATCAAATTCCATCAGCTCATGGTACTTTTGTTAGCATTTAATCTGTATTTTTGGGTGCTCTTACATATGGTTTTTTTTTTTTACGACAAAATCACCGGTTTCCAGCAACATTTCTAGTACTGTAGGATAAGTCGTCAAACATTGGAGATTTGAGTGTAAGACTCTAATTACACATTTATTTTTTTTAGTTTTTATTTTAAATTGGTTTAATTAGGACCACCACTTCGTTCTACAACATTAAAGATTAAAAACTCGGGATCTTTATAATGCATTGAAATCGGACGTATGGGCTGGGTCCATTTAAAATTTAACAACTCAACACCAGCCCGGCTAAATTACACCCTAGACTCCATATCCATCAAGTCTATCCCTCTCAAGAACCTCCAACATTAACAGACAACCTTCTTTATAGATCTATCTTTTAGCATTTTCTCTGAATTTCCATGATTATTATGATACGAATTACGGGGTTAAGGCCTTTAGGGGCGGGGGAAATAGCAAGTAAGGGTGAATAAATGGGTAAGTTCAAGTTGGCACCCAATGCAACTGATCTTGAATCTGCTTTGAATCGATCTTACTCAATCTGTTATTGATAGGGAATGATTCTAACTTCTTGGAATCAATGCCCACTTATACCAGTTCTAGGGTCTAAGCCTCTAAGGGTTTACCCTAACTGAACCAACCTAGAGAATCGGCCTTGGTTGACTTTAATGGAATTGACCTTGGAATTGTACTTGCCTTGAAATAAGTCTTAAAATGTTTTGGGGATATAAAAATTTGAACCAAAACACTCATGATTACAAAGACCATGTTTTACTTGAGCATAAATCACTTAAGTGATTTGATCATTTTTCTTTAATTTAATATCTAAATGTGTATAATAAGTAATGAAAAAGATAATATTTATAAAATTTAAATAATAACGACAAATGAGAAACTATATCATCATCATCATTATTATTATTATTATTATTATTATTATTATTATTGAAACTCAAGAAATGTTTCATTTGTTTTTCAGGGGGAGGGGAGATTCTGTGTGAGCTCTGTGGTCTGACCCTTGGCTTTTACACTCTCCTATTTCTATTATACTAGTAGTGACTTTTTAAGGAAAAAAAATAAAACAACAGTGATTCACCAAAATTTTTATATATTTAGAGAGAGATTCACCCCTGATAAACTGACCTGAGGCGCTGTCCAATCGGCCCAAACTTTTTGCAAACACAACTGGGCTACTCATACAATACCAAGTCAAATACATTGGTGTAGTGAGTTGAGGCTGGTAGTACATAATTGGGCTGGTTCATGCATGACCATCCACTTACGTCAGCACCTTGGACTGAATTAGGGTTGCGTCCTGGCCCAGTAAGATGTTGTGTGGCAGTGCAGGTATGGGCAGATGCTCATATCCCTACTTGTGTGCCTAATGCTTTCTTGAGCCATTCCAAATTATGAATAATTCTCAACTCAAGTCAAGATAGAAGATGCAAGACGCAACAAGTAATTAAAACAGTTGGTACCTCCAATTCCACTGGCCCAGTCCCAATTCATCCCAACCTGTCCCAACTATATATATTTGTGGCATCTTGATCTTGGTAAGTATTTATTTACCAATTACCACAGCATATAAATAAGCAATTAGGCACACCAATGTTTTGGGCATATGTGCGCAAAAATTGATGTTTGTTTATGTCCGTTTGTGCAAAACCGTGAACGCAATATGCAATGGTAGCTAGACTCTAAGATTTTGTACTATGACAAATGACAATTGTAGAAACATGAAATGATGTGTGGGTAGCATTTCCACAATCAGTTGTCATTGTCACAACGCCCTTGTCCTCATGATGCGGAAACGTAACATTAGAACATAAACAAGGTAAAAAATACCAATGTTTTGAGTTGTGTTACTGTGACTTGTTTAACAAATTTCCGCTTAATTTAGATAAACACCTAATTGTGATATAAGTTTACTAAACATAATATGTGTATAGTTAATTAATTAAAAAACAGTATTTGATTGCATAATAAGAAGGGTCTTGGTTTGTTGGTCACGCTCAGCTTAATTAGATGCAATGCCAAAAGCATCCTAATTTAAAGATTAAAGTTTAAACAGACACACTGTACTAATTGGGTTTTGAATCAAAGCCTATGCTACTGATAGTTTGTATTGTTTTGGCCCTTTTGGCTTGGCTCTCTTTCCCAGTTACTGTTGCTCAGCCTAGGGTTTCAAACTTGGAAACTTACTTAAAGCCTGGAAATGATGGTGGTAGGTGTATGAAGTGTGATTAGCTTGCCAAATCAAAAAGAAAAAAGCCAAAATCAGGATGGCCCTTCCCCATTCCTTCAAGCCAAAATCAGGAATGGCCCTTCCCCATTCCTTCAATTTTCTAAGAAGCGGGGGGGGTCCCCATTGTAGACTAAAGTCAAGTCATAGAGCATCCCTTCTTCTTAGACCAGACCATATGACCATATCCCCATGATATGTTGAGCCCTAAGAAAAAGTTGCTTTTGGTTGTATTCCTTTTTTTTTTGTCTGCCGACGCACCCACGTTACTCAACTGGCCGGGTGCAGGTGGTCCAACGCAACAGGCAACAGCTATTCATATCAGCCCCCACTGGGGGCACCTCATAAAGTCCCACAGTGCATCTCAGCCGTGTCTCTAGCTGAGATGTGCTGTGTGACGTTTTGGGGTGCTCCCAACGGGGGGCTGATGTGAACTCACAGCTATAGCTATAGCACACAATACATAGAATAGAGAAAATAAGAACAGAACAGTATTGTGCAATGCATAATGCATTGTTGGGTGCTTTGATTTGTTCCAAAATTCAAAGGATTGGACTATGTGCCGACGTTGGAGAGCACCGACATGGCACGGCTCGGCTTTACCAAAGTCTTGTGCTGCAATTACCTAGTCGTAGCAACTTGATTGATCATTGATCATTGATCACTTCACATGACCTGGGCCTTACTTTACTTGGAATCATAACCAAACTTCGTGTATCATTATCAATGCCTATATGGTAGATAGTGTGGACTGCGGGGATTAGACTTTTTCACGTGGTGGTCTGGACGTGAAGCCAAGGCCCCAATGCAATTATCCGTGTTACCGTCCACGTGCAGTCCTAAGATTAAGGATGGATATTGTTGTCGTTGTTGTGGATTTCAGCTGATTAGAAAGTTGAGAGGGCTGAGCTGAAGCTGGTTCTTTAAATTGGATGAATGAAGCGTTTCGGAAGGCTTTTTGTAGGGATGGCAATTTCTATACTATTCGGGGGTATTCATTTTTACCTTTTCCAATGGAACAGGTTTTTTTACTTAAATGATGAGTTTTGGGGCGGTTATAGGTTTTAGAATTTTATAACATGTATGGGTACGGGTAAAGTATTATGTTAAATCCAATCTTCCCCAATTTACATATTATTAAAAAGCATTTAAACTTTATATACTAGGTGCTGAATTTAATAATATTTTGAATTTTATATGAAGAATAACTAATAGTTTATATATATTTTTTATATTTCTTTATCAAATAATTAGATACAGGTTTTAAAATCCAACTACAATGAGTTTTGAAACGGGTGCATGTTGAAAGGTTTAAGGAGGCGGATCAAATCTAGAATTTACAAAACCCTCCCCCTTACCATCCCTATCTTTCTGGTGTTTTGGATTGAGTCGGGCCCCATATGAGAATGTCATAAGCTGTGTTTGGTAAAATTTCGGAAAGCCAATATGACATGGGCTTTTCAAATGTTCAAACCACAGCTCAATTACTACACCCCACCCAAACACAGAAGCCCTCCCAAATGAGCCGATTGGATTTTATTCGGATTTTTCGCCAAAACATAGCTTCAGTTCTTCTAAACGGGGAGTCACAAGAATCAGATGATTAAGCTTGAATGGGTTATTGGCCAAGACATCTGGTTCAGTCCTGTCTTCAAGCAAATGGCAACCTATCATGATTCATGAAGCGCCGGTTGGCCCGGTTCTTGGATTCTGCACTGCACTGATGAAAGTGGGTAATTCAATGAGGTAGCAGCGGAGATTTAGGAGGGGTCAATTATATAAAACAGTAAAACACCACTTAGAGAGAGAGAGAGAGTAGATTATTACTACATATATGGATACGCCTAAAATCGCGCATTAATCGATGCCGCTGGAAGAAAGCGCTTGGCTCAACTAAAAGAGTTAAGAAGAGAATCACAATTTAAATTGAAATTAAAGGGGAGGTGTTCGTCTTGAATACCTTGCTCTGAAAACAAGATAGGAACCATACAAATTACCAAACCTGTTTTGCAGTTTACAAAGAATTCCCCTTAATTTTATCTCTTAAGAAGATAGTAGAGAAGGTAGAAAAAAGTTGAGCAAATCAAATGGACAGTGAGAAGAGCAACACTGCTTCACTCTTTCTCCAAACCTTCATCAGGCTGGCTGGCTTTCTGCGATATTGGCAGTGTTAATGGCACCCCCATGAATCAAATTTATAGAGACATGAATGAAATACATAATAATATTAATTTCAGTCTTTATTACCACAAACAATAACCATAGTCGACGCTCGATTCGACAGAGAGGAGAAATACATAAAAGTAGGATTCCCTTCCAATCTTACATCCACCAAGTCATCTCTCTTCCCAACACTTTTCATCATATACATATATACCCAACCCAATAGAGACAACAAGTAGAGAATAGAAGATGATCCAGCCACCAGCCAGCGGATGTAATATACCATATAATGAAACAAACAGAGCTTGCTTGAATTATCAATTATACATCCCTGTCCCTTTGGCATTCAGGTGGCATTTTAGGGTACCTCACCCTATCAGTACAGTAGTTGTAGATGGTATATTTGTCGCGGACCCACTTAAGCCTCCTGTACTGGAAACCATCCAGATCTTGGAACTCCTTCTGATCCCACCACTTGGTTCCTTGTGTGCGACAAAACCTAGCATTCACAGACTCCTCACACCCATCTATGTGGAAGCTCCTGTAAGAAGCAAGGAAGGGAGCTCTGGACCAGTCCGTCTTCTCAAGACCACCCCTCGTGGCCCAGTCATCCGCATTCCACAAGCTCGAATATATCTTCATGGGCTGGTAGAAAGGGAACTTCAGTCCCAAATCTTTGCAGTTCTTGAAAGTCCTGATTGGAACATCGTCCACAAAAAACCTGTGGCATCCACCAATCAAACCCCATATCATATCATACTCATATATCACATATCCTATAAAAGTGGCATTTGTAGTGAAGCAAAGGCAGTAGAAAAAGGAAACTAAGAGGAATATATAAACCCAATTAAGCAATTACCCAATTCCAGCTGCTAAATGAGAAAAATTAAATATATTAAAAGGGAAAAAGGAAGACTGGGTGAGCCTCTCACTCTCAGCCTCTTATCTTATTTATTGAAGGGTGAGAAGCTACGGGATAAGAGTTCACAAAGCACGTCCCATGGCGATTTGGTCCATTTAATTTTGATAGAAAGCTTTCATGGGGTTATGTTTCAACTTTGGATGCTGATTGTTGTTGACAAGAAATAAAGAAAAAAGAGACCCTAGGTGGGGGTGTGTAGTACAACTTAAAAGCAAAATATTACTGAGCTTACGGTTCTGTAATACAATATGCCCTCTTCTTTTGAATTTAGGCATTCTTATTCACATTCTCTCGTGGAGATTTAATTTAACCTCTAGAATTTCTTCCTTTTTTTCCAGAATTAATAGGAACCATGAGAACAGTGAATGCTAATAACTACTAATCAAAGACACGATGATTATTGTTCATTAATGTTAAAAAAAAACAAAATTTTCTGTTCTAAGGCTTTAATATTTGTGCTCTTATCATCAGCAATTTCTAAACCCAGTGAAGAAGAAAGATTTTGGATTGTTCGTTCAGCATTTAAAATAACACAATGGAAAGAGATAAAGAAAAGCTTACACTATCTGAAACAGGTTCCAGAGAACCGAGTAGGAGTGGAAGTCTTTGGTTGGGTCAAACCAGAGATAGATCCTTTGTTCTCTGTCACCCTTCCCTCCAGTGAAGACATTTGTCTGTAAAATATATGGTTGGCCTGTCCTGTTTCCCAAGAACTCAAAGTCTATCTCATCGTGCTCCGAGTTTTGAGAAGATAGCTAAGGAAAACCAATGCAACAACAAGATAGATTAGAACACAGAGAAAAGAAGAGGTGAAAAATCAATATTGTTCTAATGGATGGGTTTAGAATACAACTGGAACGAAATCACTTACATAGAAAGCAGTTACTGTTCCAGCAGAGTCCCCTGGAACTAACTTTATATCCATGCTGAAGTGGCCAAACAAGTAAGAACCCTTGGATTGAAAGCCAGTACCTAAGCAGAGAAAAACCGATGAAGCAGAAGCCCATGAGGTTGTTTCTAGAGTAGGTAAAGCAATCTGAGTAAATGTTCTGGTGGGATGGTTTTCTGATTTCTTACCTGTGTATTTATCCAATGAGAGCTGAACCTCGTTACCTCCATTGAAGTACTTAATGTGATCAAAAGCCCATGTTGGAACATAGTTACGATAAAAGGGTACATTCACAGGCTTCCTTGGTGGAGTAGCCAATGTTCCCTGCGCCAAGAAACCTAAACACAGAACCCAGAGAAAAGAAGCCATATTTCTGCAAAACAAAAACAAAAGCAATGCAAATTTCGTAAACCCACGCAGTGGAAAGTCGCTGAGAAACGAAAGAGTAGAAATGGAAGGGAAGTGGATTACCCCGAAGGCGAGGGCGAGAGAATGAGAGAATGAGAGAAAGGGTAAGGGTTCCCTGTGGGAAAAAAGGGACAGTGTGCAAGTCCTTTTGTAGGCTGATGGTGCCACTATTATTAGTATTAAATAAATCCATAAAAAAATTATTAGTATTAAATATTATTTTTTGACGCATTGTGAAAGGAATATATAAAATAATTTTATGGTGGCAATACAGCTATGCTTCTGCCTCTACTCGAGGGCTTCAATAATTTGCTTACCACGTTGAACTGTCTATAATATATACTTTGGTGAGGTTGGATTTAAGTTCATAAGTATTAACTATTAACACACACACACACTCGAGAGAGGAATGCGACGTCCGCAGCTACTATGTTTGGCATCCAATTTGATCAACATTTTGATATTTAATTTGGGGGCTTAAGCTGATTGCAAGAAGATTTAGAACTTTTTATTTTGTTTATGAAAAATAATAAAATAAAAAATATGGAGAGTGAAACTGAAGAGTGAAGAGGCACACAGTAGTATTCCCTTTAACCAGTTACAACATGATCGTTTGCAACCTTTAACTATGTGTCAATCCCATTTAAAAATAATATCTCTAAAATAAGCAAGTAGAAGTAGTTTGACTGGAATTTATGATCTTATTCTCATAGGTGGGTTGGGAAATTGATACCCTACATCTACTGGGATAGACCAGATTTCAAAGCATAACATTAATTTTTCTTCTCTACCGATCGAGTGTAAGTGTAGGTGTAGGTGTTATTTTTCAATAATTTTACCACGCTGCCATCTGCGACGCTAGCTGGAGATTGGTTGCATCACTATTCACTACATAATACTTAACACTCAACACAGACCGAGTCTGAGGCAAGACAGACTATTATAGACCAGATAAAAGAATAAAAGAAACGAAAGTAAGACGAGGATAAGTTTATCTGTAAATACAAAAAAGAAAACATTTTATTTATCGGGCATTATTTGTATTTTGTACAACTATCCGAAGATGAAAAATAATATATATATATATATATATATATATATATATATATATTTATCTCCGTCGTGGTCGTCCATCTAAATAAAGTAGTATGTGAAATTAATATTAGGAGAGATGACAAAAGTTATATAAAGACCGGCGGCCCGACCCATCATATATGTATGTATGGCAAAGGGCCCAATTCAGTGTTTTTGTTTTTGCCCAAAGCGAGGCGACCGTGACATGCAGGTGCACCGTGCACTGCCTCTCTATTGTATTGTGATTTGCGAAACAATTGATTAAGGGCCAATTCTCAATTAACAGAAGAGAAGACTGTTGGCAAAAGAGTATGAAAGAGGGAGAGGATTAGGAACGCTGATTATTCACTGTTGAGGAAGATTGTTTCTTCCTAATATCCTAACTTTGTGTTTTATAAATATATAAAAGGAAGCATGTATATAGTTGGTAAGGGACCCACGAGGCACGTGGCTGGTCTGGTATCGTTAACAGTCTGAATTCTGTAGGTGGCCGGAAACATGTTATTGCTGGGGCTGGAGCTTTGGACTGGAGCTGGAATGTACAGAGATTTTGACAAGGAAAAGGAACCCTCAACAAACTTTCCTCTCCTAAATCCTAATAGGCTATGACCTATCATCGTCATCGTCATTATCTTCGTCTTAGAACCAGATACGTGGAATGATGTTTTGGGAAGAAAAGAATCACGTGGAAGATAATGTGGTGTACCACCCCAATCCGAGCATGTGGGGACAGGACCACACACTACACGATACTACTGTCTGGACTCTGGACAACCCTGTCCGCTATCCCTTGATTCAGTTTCAATCTGGGGGGTTCCTGAAAAAGCAGTAAGCACTATCCGATTCCGATTCGGCGATTCCTACTCCGATAAGCTAGTGGTGCAGCGGCCGTGTGGGTGCCTCGCCATGCCCCACCAGTTTTTTTTACTTTGTCTCGTGGTTGTGGAGCATCACCTCAACTTCTTACAGGCTACAGCACGTGCCTCGTCGTAACTAGTGCTTCTTTTTTTTTTTCTTGGAAGCTCAACCTAATTAATTATAAATTGTAATGTGGAAATTAACAAAGTAATTAAAGTATGGTTGGGTGCAGCAGGTAGCGGTGAGTCTGACTTTTAATATTATACATGCTGCATGAAGGGATGCACCCTTCTTATTTTACTATTTCTTAAAAGGAGAAAATGTATGTGGTGTACTGGTGTGAATGTGATTTCCCAAAAGCCAAAAGCCAAAAGCCAAAAGCCAAAAGCATGCAATCCATCTATCTAATTTCTAAAATTGAATCACATTACCTTGGTCTCCAGATTTAGGTATAACACATGCATACACATTACAGCTGATGTGGTTGATTTCTAGCCTTTTTGGTAGGTAGGGCCCATTGAGTAATGGGCTTTGGCCTTTGTCTTTGTGTCTCCTGTAACTGCCTATACTACAACAAGTAGTACAGACTGAGATGTGGGCACATGCATTCAAAAGTAGAGCCCATGACCATGAGGAAGGTACGTAGTAACTTATTGGTACAAGGTAAGAAAGTAACAATATTAATAAGATGCAAGAGGGGAGAGAGAAAGGGAGAGATGATTGATTGATAGATTCCTCAGAAATTAATACGAAAAGATGTCCAAATATACCTCCCCAGGATGATGATTGTTTGTTGATTACAATTACATTAGCTAGCTGTTAATCACGCCATACAGATTAGCAATTAGCATTGGATCCTTCAACGAAATGAAAGGGCACACGCATGCACATTCTCAGTTGCCATTTAACCTCACCACTCACCATACTTAATTACGTACTCTGATCAAACAATTTTGTAACAATTAATTATATTATGGCATTAATTATTGTTTATATTATATACTTAAAAGAATGATTACGCCGTGGGCATGCTAATTAATATTGGTGGACTAGATTATATATATATATATATAATTATAAATTGGAAATGATCATCAGTAGCCCAAGCAAGCGCTTCACTGTTTCCATCACTTTGATAGAAGAAGAAGAAGAAGATGCATTTGGTTAGTATCAAGGTTGGCTCTCAGTTTTAAAATGGGAATCTGTTGCTGCCGTGGGCATGGTTATTAAGATGCATTGGTTGGTATCAAGGTTGGAAACAATGGTTTCACCAGTTTTTATTTATATATAATATATGGTAGAGAACAAAAGAGACAGATGCTCCTCGCATTTCCAATTTTTTATACGAGAGTAGCATAATTAATTAAGTATCGCCTAATCTTCATCTGTTTCCGGCAGGCAAATCGCAAATGTTGCCATTTAATGACACAAGTGGGTGAACCTTTAAAAAAAACAAAAAACTAGTCCAAAACCCAGACAACCCAATTAAAAACAACTTGGATCAATTCTCGTTAACAAAATAAACTATGGGAATTTTGCAAGGAGGACTGGACTATATATGTGGGTAACTAGCTAGGTTGTTAATGGGCATTGGTTTAATTAATTTTTCTTCTTTAATTACATGCATATAATAAATAAGATGTCCCCGTGCATTTCTAAAAAATAAAATTAATTAAAAACAAAAGACGACTGATGTTCCCACACCTAGCTACATGAATATCGAAAGCCTACGAAGAAAGAAGTTGAATTGAAGCAAGTAATTTAATTTAATTAATTAAGCAACTGCATACATAATGACGAGTGTAGTTTTAGTAAAATGAAATAATGCATAAAATTACTGAAGCTGATCACCATGCATGCATTAAGCATTATGCATCAGTCAACAATTATAAGGTCTTATATTTTCTTGTTTGGTGGTGTTTTTCTATTTATTGATTTGAAAGCTGCACAATGTATAGCCAATCCTGCTGCCTAGTGGTATTAAGAAATGGCTACTTTGACCTAACAACGAATCTGGTGCCTGGTGGTATGATTATGATTCTTAGTTGTCTTGAGGCATGCAGGCATGCAGGCATGAACCCAACCCAACCCAACCCTTCTATAGTCTATACACATATATCTCCCAAGTTGCACATGTGGATGTGCCCTACCCCCCTACATTATTATGGATTTATGGAACCAAGGCTTTACATGCAACTGGAAATAACTCAGAAAAAAAAAAAAAAAACTTTGTTTGTTGTAGCTTATGATCATCAGTTTTACAAGACTAATTGAATTCCGTAGTAACCAAATTAACATAAATACATATATGGCCGCCCAAACCATGACTGTGCTTTCTGGACTGGTAGAAACCTTTTCTCCATACATCCTAATTTTGGCCACCAGTTCATCCATCTTCCACACGCCACCCAAGGTTCAAACTTCAAAGTAATTGATATTGCAGATGTTAGACACAGTTTCAGAATTACATTTTTTTTTAAGATATTCATGGAGATATATGCTTGGGAAACGCATGCAGCACAGATACCATACCATGTGTATACACATGGATAGGCGCTCCATTAATTGCTCTTGCGTTTAAGTTTAACCTAGAGCTGTAAAACGGGCCCGTGTTGACTCGGCAGATTTGGCAAGGCATGGCCCTCGTGTGTCCCGTGAAATGTGCAAGCCATGCCATGCCGGTCCATAGGCCGTCTCGACTGTGCCTCTTTTTTCTGGGATATTTTAGGGTTTGGCTTGGCACAGCCCATGGCCCGAGTCTGTACAGGTCCTGCCCGTGTCACAAGCTGTGTTAGGTTGGCAAATTCAGCAAGCCATGGCCCATGTGCGGCCCGTGCAAAGTGTAAGTCATGTTGTGTCACCCCACAGACCGTCTCGGGCTGTGCCTCCCTCCTCTTGATATTTTGGGGGTCGGCCTAGCATAGCCCACAGCCCGAGCCTGTGCAGGCCACGGGCCAGGTTGGTCCATGGACCGGACCAAAGCTATTTACTTAAAAAAAATTGACAAAAATCTTGAAATTTTTATTTTATATGAATTTTGATGTATATAATTGTTTATATATACAATAATTAAATAAAATAGTATAATAAAATTGAAAACAATTATTGCACTGCTGTTACATGAGAAAACGGTGTTGTATAATACAATTGTTTATATATACAATAGGTGTTTGGGATTGTTTATATATACAATAACAATAACAATAAC